AAAAGGAAGGTGAAAAGGTAAAAAGGAAAAAAGGGGAGTGACAAGATCACACATTCACAATGTATATATGTTTGAACTCTTTTGGTGTTTTGAAAGAAACTTGGGACTTAAAGCCACATGCCTCAAACGCAGGAAGGACCAGCTTTGGATTGGCCGAAAAACAGGAGTCAATTAGGTGCACGTGAAACCCACGTGACTCCAAAATGGGAAAATCCATTGGATAGGTGTTTGTAGGAATTGTGATAAAAAACAGTAATGCTTTTCTTAATATAAATTAAACAAAGAAATAAGAATCATGAGATAGGTGTTTATAGGAATTGTGACAAAATAAAATTATCTCCTGTCTTGTTGTGGGACAATCTTATTATAAAAATACTTTAATATGGTTAATAGAGTTTTTAAAGCACCCGCCCTGAATATTCGTATATAGTTCTATTACAAATTTACAATGTTGCAGCACATGGACATTTCACTATCCTAATTTAAGGATAATAATATACCTAATAATCCAGAAAGAATCTAGTACAAAGTCTAAGTTTTAAGATTTTATTGTTTAAATGCTAAGGGATAAATAAATTAATAATGCTACCTTTGTACCCAAAAGAAAAAAACATAATAAAATAAAAATTAATAATGCTACCTTAAATCCAACTGGAGAGATAAGGATAAAGGAAAAAAAGCAAAGATGAGATGGAGTTTATCGCTACATGAACAGAACAATTATAGAATCACCAAATAAATAATTAAAGCAGGCTGAAGTTATTGTTCACCATTATTACATTTCAACTACCTAACGAACGTTGCGTGATTGCGTTTTTATGCGGACTTTAATGTTTGTTGCATTTAACATGTCGTTTAATTTGTTCAAAGCAAAGCTCGGGTTTTCATTTCTCAGAATGAAAATCCTGTTTGTAACACGTTTTTCAAGTTGACTGTCTAAATCTTAATAGTTTACGCTTTCAGCAAAAAGGTCATCTTTTTGTAGAGGGGAAAATAAAAGGTAATTGAGCTTTATCGAGAAAATTTCTCAAAAATGTCAGACACAAACACATTGCTGGATCTCAAAAAAAAAAAGAAAAAAAAAAATTACAAAAAATGAAGTGTGGCATAACGAAATACAAGAATTAAGAACATTAAGCGTACCATCTCTGATGCCAAAAGCAAAATGGAAACTGGCAAAACACAACAGCATCCGAAGCACAATGGAAAACCCCATTATTGGTGCAGAGATTTTATTCAAGTAAACAGTATTATTCTGATTTTTTTTGTTTTCCTTTAATTGTGTTCTGTTCTGATTTCAAATGGCTCACAGAGAAGGCCCCTTTTATGCTTGGCAGCTCTGGAAATTGGGCCTGGATTTTCAGCGTAATAACGTTGGTGCCAACATCCAATTTTTATCATTTTTACTCTTTTTTGTTTTTTATCTTATATTATAGGTGGGCCATTGCAATGATAGGTCTGTAGCATCACCACATGGGATCATTTAAAAGTGACCGGCTCGCTGCTCGCCCCATTTTTTAAAGATTTTAATTTAATTAAAATATTGCATTTGTATTCTATTTTAGGGAAATTGTGTCTTGGAAAAATGATAAAGGAGATGAGAAAAGGCTGCTTATAGAGCACATGAATTCCCTGCAATTTCCCGAGAGGGTGCAGCGTGCAGGGCATCATGGGAGATGAGGACAGGACTTGTTTAATTCCAGTTGCTTATTTANNNNTTCTTATTTTTATTGTAAATAGATTTAAGAATGTTTTTTTTCCTAAGATGAAGTCAGTAATTCGGTGATGATGGCTCACATATTATATCAGAAAGTAACCGGTGTTGAACAAAAGTAGGAAAAATTTAATCTTCCTATAATGCAATGTGACTTTCTTATACCTAGTTGTTCATATTTGGGTTCGGTAGAGCACCCACAATGCTTTGGGTCTCTTTTTATATATGTGGCATATAATTGGACTTGAGTCTTAAATGACGTGGACAAATTCAAGTAAAAAACTTCAATAACTTTGCAATGCAAAAATAAAAAAACTAGGTCTAGCATATATGTCAACCAATAAAAATAATGTAATATGTTTTTTTTATTAAAAGAAAAATTAAAGTAGGAATAAATGATTAGTGGTTGGGTTTGTACTTTGGTCCAAAATAGACTCAAGTGTGGACTTAGTCTCTTTTTTTTATTGCCACATAAGCTAGACCATGTGCATGATTAGTGGTTGGGTTTGTACTTTGGTCCAAAATAGACTCAAGTGTGGACTTAGTCTCTTTTTTTTATTGCCACATAAGCTAGACCATGTGCACTTTTAATTGCATTGGGAAATATTTTTTTATAGACTAAGTCTATTTCTTACATGGCATGTGATTTTTTGTCAAGAGACCCAAAGCATTGTGGATGCTCTTACAAGAAATCACCTATAGTTTACTTAATTTGCGCGTTCTTTCCATCGTGTTTTAAAAAATATGCGAGGCCCCTTATACTAACTAGTAGACGCACGATGCCCACCTCTCAGTCAAACTTAACTGCGAAAGTGGTACACCTTTTACTACTGGGTACTTATTTATGCTGGCTGGTGGTGCAATTTCCTGGCGTAGTTGTAAACAAACACTTGTTACCACTTTATGGAAGCTGAGTTTGTGGTGTGTTTTGAAGGAATCTAGTTTAGGAACTCTGTCACAAGGCTATGAATCATTCCGAAAGTTGAAAGACCTATCAAGATCTTTTGTGACAATAAATTAGTCATTCTATACTCCAACAATAATAGGAGCTCGTTTAAGTCAAAATATATTGTACATTAAGTTCCTAGCTGTGAAAGAGAGGGTACAGAGTGGTCAAATTTCAACTGAACACTTAGAGACAAAATCTATTAGCAGACCCTCTAACTAAAGGTGTAACACCTATGGTATTTCAAGAGCATGTTGCTCATACGGGTGTGTTACATGTTCGGGAAGCTTCACTCTAATGGGAGCATTTGCAACATTTTTTTTGTTATTTTTATTCGATGAAATATAAAGTACTTATTTTGATCAGAAATAAAGTTATTCGTTCATGACAATTTGTGCATTATGTTTTGGTACTTAACATTCTCATTAAGTTTGGATTAGTTGAAAATTGACATGTGCTGATCACATTCATGTAATTTTCATGCCACATGTTCTACAGTTTGATCTATGTCGTTTAATCATGGTGATATATATGATTATAATAGTTTGTTTGTGTCTATACGGTGAAAGCTGCTTTAGTCCTATATTGTTGTGATTAATAAACCAGATAATTGTTCAAGTTCTGCAATAATGACCATATTTTAAACTCGTAAGACATAATGTATTATTAGGACACATATTTACTAGTAGAAAAAACACTTTTCACATTGACTGTTTACATCGGTTTTGTCAAAACCGATGTAAAAAATACTTTTCACATCAGATGTTGACATCGGTTTTCCCGAAACCGATGTAAACAATAAAGACAGTGACATTTTCGTTTATAAAATTTCATTTGGCACATCGGTTCTTACACAACCGATGTTAACGATGTGATGTGCGACTCTTATTACATCGGTTATATGTGTAACCGATGTAGAAAAATTAATTTCACGCATCGGTTATTTAAACCGATGTGAATACGGGCCAAAAATAAAATAAAATTTTAAGCATCAGTTAAATAAATCGATGTGAATGCGGCCCAAAAAATGACGAGCTAAATTATGTGCATCAGTTTAACAAAACCGATTTGAGGACGCCCAAATTTGATGTGCGCGCCAAACTGCCAAACATCAATCTTAAGCCCAACTCGCCTGTCCATCTTCTGAAAATCGATTATACACTCAAAACCCTCCACCAGTTTCGCCTTCACAGTTTGTCGCTCTCAAAACCCTCCACCGTCGCGCCTTCATAGTTCGTCGCTTCTCATCGTCACCGCCTACCTAATCTTTCTCCCCTGACTACCGACGAGCACTCATTACCAATCACCTGCCCCCATACCCGCACTTGTTATCGCCGGTGTGCTGCGATAGTCCCTTCAGTAGCGGACCTATCTCATCGGCGATAGTATTTCCGTGCCTGCGTCTCGGGATTTACCTTCGAACACGGGCTGTATTAAAGCAATCTTTTGGGAGTTAGCCATCCCGGGTGGTGAAAGTTTTAGGACTCATAAAGAACTCAACGGGAGGAAGTCAAGCACTTTCACAGTACATTCATTCCTCTCTTCTCCGGACCATCCACAGTTCCTTTACCGCAAGCACGACTCGACCTCCTTTGAGCGACAGTCGTCCGTCGACTAGCGTGTGTTGCCATCAACAGTTGCCTGCCGTTCTTTGGTAAGTCCTTCTTCACAAATCATCTCAACTGAAATTGTCCTCAACACTCACAATCTTTGATTTGGTCTTGTTTCGCTTCATTTGCTGGTTGATTTAGTTTTGGTTAATTGCTTACTAACCTATATTTAAATTGAAAATAGTTAGAATTTTGTTAGGATTATAAGTCTGCAATTGGTATTGACAACATAGTACAGAGAGAACTTTCTCTCGCAAATTTGCTGAGTGGTGGGTTCCATTATTTAGGCTCTTGTCTGATACATAAGAAATTAATCATTGATTTAAAAAAATGAAGAGTGCTAATCCAAAGCAAGTGGGGTTTAATTAGGGTGTGTGGGGAAGGATTTACAAAATTTCTCTCAACTTTTAGTTATAATTCAATCAGCAGTGCTCATTTGTTAGTTGTAACAGACCTCATTTTTTGTATCAATAATGAAAATTTGATTTGATGTCCGGTCCCCTGGGTGATTGTGATTTTGAGATTACCACTACTTGAAAGTTAGAAACTTTCTTTGCCTATTAGAAAAGACAATAATTGTGCAGAGGATAAAAGTGCATGAAGAGAATCATTCTAACCCAACAGATATTTTGACAAAAGTCAGCATTGATAGCTCGAGCAATCAAGGTTTGCTAACAAACTTTCAATATATGTAGTGATATGTGCGTGTCTGTGTATTGTAGTTTTATCTAATCAGAACCAATATATTTTACTGCTTCATTAATATATTTCAGAAGTGCAGAATCCTCTCTAGTGCAATGGAATTTTTCTTTTCGTTTGCCTTCGGTTTTCCTATTTATACTCTATTTAGTTTCATTCTTTTACCACAATCAATCCTTCCTTCCCTGAATGAACTCATTCATTGGGGTTCAAAGTTCACACTGGGTTATGAAATGGTCAATCTTCTGCACAATAATTTCAACTGGAGATGATATTGAAACATTCAAACTTTGATTAGGATTCTATTTCTGTACTTGAAGTTTTCTATAGATGCTTACCTTTACGATTCATTGGCATCCTTAAGCTATAGAAATTCACTGTGTTTGAACTGTCTTGGTTAATTTCTGGTTTAGGTGCACAATGCATTCATTGTGGAATCCCTGTATAGCTAATATCTTCGCTTGGTTGTCTACAAATAATCTTCGCATGTATATATATCGATTGTGTTAAATTGTACCTAACTTATGATTTCTTTTGCCAGTTCGATAAACTAAAAATAATAATAAATAAATAAATAATATATAAATAAATCATAGTCAATAATATGTTTTTTTATCTAACTTATGATTTTAAATAATATATGCACACTCATATAACTTATAAAGAAATCGATTACTAGTTATGAAACGTGTATGCAGGAATGGATGATCTTTCTGAATATAGTACTCAAGATGGCACAGACAGGGAAACTCACGCCAAAAAAGGTCGGGGAGCGACGCGGATGAAAGACATACAAACATCAGACGGAGAAAAGAAACATGTTACATTCAATCGTTATTTTCAGGCAAACGGGCCAGACCCAAAAACTAAGAACAAGTTTAATAGCTACATCGCCGTTCAAGGAAAAAGCAAAGTAAGCATCTTGATACCGGACTGAAGAAAAGTGACTGATAGGAATAAGGAGCAAATTTGGCAAGCTTTATTGGTATGATTTATCTATTTTATGAAAACACAATAGTTGGTAATTGAATGCTTCAATGATTTATTGTGATAAAGTTGTACAAGTTATGTGAATAAAAATTTAATGATTAAATGTTAATTATTTTTTTGATGAATCTTTATATTTTTCAAGAGCAGTACGATGTGCCGGATAATGAGAAATTGAAAAAGAAAGTGTTTTCACGTGTTGGGGATGCTTGGAGGGGTTTCAAAACTAAACTCAGTGATTACATATTTAGAGATAAGATAGGTGTGCTCCTGTATGACGATGGTTACCCTTTTCTGGATGCGGACACTTGGAAGGCTTTTGTTGCGTCCCGTCAAACTCCTGAATTCTTGGTAAGTTAATTATTATCATGAACATATATAATTTCCAGTCTCTCGTACATTTGGCCATACAATTAAAGTT